AGGACTAAAGTAAAGACTTAGGGTTAACTCTAAGTTTATAATTAGCTGCTTATAAGGTTAATAGTTTAGGGTTAGTAGTTTAGCCCCCCTATTGTCTGTCTTGTCTTTACTAGACAGGGGTTTCCTGTATTATTATTAGCCTATGCCATTTTTAGAGGTTAGCAGTTTAGCCCAAACTACTAACGGCCTATTAGTTAGGTCTAGCTATAATAGTAAGTATAATCTATATAACCTTATACTAAAGTATAAGCTTTTAGAAAGGATACTTACTTTATTACTTTATTACTAAGGCCAGAGCCTACTAGGTTATATAAAGTAGTATATTTAAAAAGTAGTTAGCCTTAATAACTACTAGGTATACTATATAGCCTAGGTATTTAATTAAAGCTACTCTTTATATATAATATAATTTAAAATTAAATACTTAAAAATATTACTTCTTTAGTTAACCTATACCTTTTTAAACCTAGCTAAATTTGCCTTCCCTTATATACCCTTTAAGATTATTTTAGTAAGCTATATACTAAAGCTGCCTTATAGGCTACTTTTTATTTTCTATAATATTTATTTATATAAAAAAATAAAAAAATTAACTTATAGCTACTAAACTATAAAACTATTTTATATACTTTTTTTAAAAAGTTTATAAACTAACTATTTTAACTAAGGCAAATTAAATAGTAGTAGTCTTATCCTTATAGTCTTATTCTTATATAATGCCTGTAGTAGCTATAAAAAGTAATTAAAGTTTAGTATAAGGTAGGTAAGACTAGTAGGGTTTTTTAGGCTAATTATATAGTATACTAGCTAACCCTAAGTATAAAGTTAAGGTTATTTTAGGCTAATAAGTAACCCGACTTAGCCTTAAATAATTAAGCTTAAAAATTTAAGTAAGATTTTCTGTTTTAATGGCTAATTAATAATAAATTGCCTGTTAATAGTTCCTAGGGTTGGGTTAAGTTTAAGAATGGCCTGGAGATTACAGCAGACCTTGTTGTTGCCACAGATAGCATTCGTGTAAGTAAATTGGCTTATATCTTAAAGAGGTACTAATCTAAAACAACCCAAAGTCAAACACAAGAGCCGAAATTGGAGTCGAGACTCACGCTACGCCTTTGTCTTCGTGCTGCTACCGCTGTATTGTCCCTTACGAAAAGCTTGAAAAGCTTGGACTGACCGAATATGTGACCCGTAATGCTATCAAGTACTGGGGAGGCATGGGTATCGAGAAGATCGTCATGTCCCCGGCCGGTGGCGGCTCCATGATCTGCTGCTACTGCTTCTACCCAGCCTCACTTAACGACACTCGCGACGATGGCTGGAACGTTTCTGCTACGCCCGAGCAGCTGGTTGAGACATTCAAGACAATCGAACCGAATATGAAGAGACTCTTCGCCGAGGCAGAGGATATCAAGATGTGGCGGCTCTACGATCACAAGCCCTATGAATACTGGGTTAAAGGCAAGGTTGCACTTTCAGGAGACGCCGCTTATCCCATGATGCCTGATCAGAGCCAGGGAGCTGTGAGTGCCTTTGAGGATGCTGTAGCACTTAGTTTGCTATTTTCTGAATCTAATCTCGCGAAAAAGTCTGTGGAGCAGCTTCTTAAGAAGTACGAGTCTCTTCGTAAGCCTAGAGCCACTATGCTTCAAGCTGCGAGCTTAAGAGCTCGCCTCGATCTTACTGAGAGGATTGGATGGAGTTCTGTCGATACTAAGCCCGGCAAGCTAACTATTGAGGATGTGGCGGGATATAAGATAGTAAACGAGATTGCTTCTAAGTGGAGTGATATTGCTATTAGTTAGATATCTACCATGAATACTTTACTCCTCCTTACATTGAATATTAACAATGAGTCTTAATTATGTTTTATAGTATAAAAGTATTGTACTGTATTTGATGGTGTGTACACCATTTCACTGCAGTCTCTAGTGACCTTGTGTGTGAGATACTGTTAGCCGAAAGCTCGCATCTCTGGTCGCAGAAGAACAATGCCCAAGAGAGCAACACCATCTTTGATGGTAGCGGCGAGAGGCTCACTGTGGGAATACTGGCTCCGACAATGGCACAGCTTGGTCCGCGAACCGCGATATTCATACAGCGTTCAACCCAAGCAGATCCCGGTGGGGTTTGCCGCTTCAAGCCAAACCTAGATGACCCGCTCGTTATGGAGGATGAATGTAGCCATGACGCACACGTCGCTACATCGGTCGTTGGTTTTGCGCAGAGTCCATCCTCCTTGGCCCCTATGGGAAGACGGATCAAGGCACAACGCTTAAGCGGTGTGGGCCTCGTGCTCGAGACTGAGAGGATCAAACCGTATGTTGCCGTCCTGGGACATCTGTTTGGTCATTCATCACCTGCGTTCGCTGCCTAAAACTTAACCTTCAGGTCGCAGTCATCCCCTAGACGATATCGAAACCCAAAGTAGACCTAATTATAAATATAATTCAAACTTTATGACCATTAAGTCGATACCAAGCTTGTGTGTAGGCGCGGGGAAACCAGCATAAGATGCCGATGTCATGACAGAGATGCAGGATTCTCTGCTGTGGCATTTATAAATGGTCTGAGGGATGGTCAGGGACAGGACGACAAGCAGATATTCTTCAATAAACAGAGCTCGACGCCATGGCCTGGACTGTTATTTCATTTTGTGATGCCGCAATGGGCCAGAGAGTGTGTTTCAGCAGGCAACTGATCAGCGCGGAGTGCTCTTCTGAAGACATTACTCACCTTGGAAAAGGCCAAAACGGCCAGGAGGTCTAGGCTCCTGGTTGGCTTAGATAACCTTCGCAGGAAGGGCGGCCGCACGTATCTCCCTAACGACGGTGACTGAACAAAATACTTATGTCGACATCCAAATTCCCAAGGATCCGCGCCACGGACCGATTATATTATGCAATACGACATTTTTAGCCTCGGAGTATGCCTGCTCAAGATTGGGTTATGGCGGTCTTTTGTCAACTGTGATTCGGTCGGCGGACATCCCAATCCGTTGGAGGCTCCAGGCCTTAGTTTCTAAGACATCCATAACAATTCATCGAGATGGCCTGCATCCAATGGCCAGCATGCATCGGGTCAAGGTATGCTCAAGTCATCCACATGCGCCTGGCTTGTCTTGATCCGGACAATATTGATTTTGGACTTGAGGCGAAGCTTCAAGATGAAGATGGGGATTCGTGTTGGAGTAAGACAAATAGGGAAAGAAAGGCACAGTATAAGATTCATGGGGGACGCGCTGCTAACAATGGTTGGTTCTGCTCAGGCTAGACAGCATTTGCGTTTAGGATCTCCATGATATTTCAAGGCCTAGGAGGTTTGACCTTGAACGATACGAAAGTTGCAGATGCCCATGACGTCGTCTTGAGTCGATTGAATCTTTTTGCCCAGTCTACCCTTGCTGCCAGTACAAACATGTGTTAACATTATTAAGAAGATCAGGTAATAAAAGGGAATTAGCTTGAGCTGGCCAAGACTTGACATATGAAACTGGCTAAAAGCGCATAAATTATATAAGCGACATGATCTAGAGTGGATGGAAACTATACTTTGAGAAACTTTGCAACTATGCTCACTGTCATCCAGTAGGCTACACAGCCGCCTGTTGCAGTTCTTCTGAATAAGAGTCTACCGCAACGTAGCGCTCGCTCAACTCTACTCCATCGGTTGCCCCAAAGATCTGGAACAGAGCAAAATCAGTAAGTCTCAATAGAGTGTCACGACAAAACAATGGATCAAGATTCAAACTCACCTTCTTTATGTCTCCGTAGATGCCAAACTGCACTGCCGTCATACCACTAACCATAACTGCACGTGCTTGCATGCCTGTGTAGGCGCCGCGTAGTCCAAGCTCAGAAGCAATACGAAATAAGCGACGGAATGTACTTTCGCCTATGACTGCTCTTTCCTTGTTGATTTTACTCAACATCGTATCGGCCGGCTGAGAGACGACGGCGGCAGCCAATCCAGCGACAAGCCCAGCACCAAGATTAATACCAGTAGCCCCCATTGACGAGACCTCTCTCTTGTCTACAACGCTGTATGCTGTCTGGATGGCTTTCTCGTAGACTAAAAATGTTGCCATTGTGTATGGGATTCTGCGATAGTCGCCTACGTCAGCAACCAAGCATCATGGCGACAAGGGTTAGTCTGGCCGAGCGTACTGTTTGAGGAGAATAGGACCCAGGCCGGAGTACAGGCCACTAATACCCTCTTCTCTTGCTAGTTTTGCTAGACCGCTCACGCAGCCGGTGGCATAGCTAGGCTGAGATACCAACCGTATTCGAATAGATTCGAATGGACACAGTGCAATATCGCCAAGGAACTCGGCCGCAGCAGCTGAACCTAAGTAAACGGCGTTTCGGTTATTAGCAGCAGTCGATTGCCCCAGATAGTCTACTGCACGAGCTTTGAAGTACTCGTAACCGCCAAATTTGAAAGCACCCTGGAGGCAATAGCCGGCGATAGTGGGACCTAAACCGGTCAAGAGAGCCCCTGGTCCTTCTGCTGAAACTATGTGGCGTGCACTCTTGGACAGACTGCTGCTGTACGCGATCGGGTCGAGTTGGATCCTTGTTTTAACGCTATTGAAGAGAGAAATGTCAGTAGCAATACCATCGCGGGGTTGGTCATAATAATAATTGCATGGTCGGATAGTATTGTGTAGAGGTGGGTTTGGGAAAAGGTGATGTCGTTATGCGGTTGGAACGTGGAACAGACATGGTAACGTCACGAGAGGCACAGTCTCAACCTCGGAGCAAACTAAGAAAAAAGGAACCTTCTTTGCTTACACATCGACGGGAGTCAGAACAGCGTGAGTGAAGGCGCAACAGAAGGCGCCAGCGAGGGCATATCTTGCATATAAAGATACATCCGTGGGATTCTCCTTTGCTACAGCAACCATCAGCTTGTCCTTGGTTGGCAAAATCCTTTCTTTAGCAGCGCTGATTGCTTCTCTGGGATTCGGTGCATGATTGACGAAGTGGAAGCTAACGATAACAATAAGCAAGTGAACCAATAAAAAACAGGCTGCAATCGCCGTCCATTCCAAGGGGGTATTCAGAGCCACCACCACCTTCTAGAGCTTTGAGCTTTCAGTTCGTTCATTTTGTCAGAGAGGGCCTTTCGTTGCGGCTCGCTCAGGCTATCTCCAGCTGCATCCATGACCCTTAAATGCTCCTTCTTCAGCTTCTCGAAGCTTTCGTCTAGCTCTTTATGCCAAGGATACAATACAAAAACTTGGAATCCCAGGGCGGAACCAGCCACAACGAAGTTGGTCAAGCTTATGGCGCGTGTAAGTTTCATTATGACTCGCGACGTTGGGATGGTTGTCGAATAGAGTCGTTAACTTGGAATACAACGTCAAAAGTACGTGAGGTTAATACACCGAGTAATAGGAATGTGGGGGTCTACAGAAGAAAGAAAAATATTAGAGGAAAGACTGCATGCACGGGGGACAAGGTGAGTAAAGCCATCTTTTTATTAACATGTGAGACTGCAACTGTCCCCACTTGAGTTCATCGGCAAGTACGGAGTGCAGTAGCGTTTTATCCAAACTTTAACAAGGGGTTCGCTATCCACTAACGTTAGCTGTCAGAGTCTGGCAGGTACCTCGTGTTGCTACCCTTGTATTTAGACGAAAATTCTCCGTAAAGTACGTAGCATTATGCCTGACGGTCGGGCCTTTAGGGTAATATGTCAATTAACCGATCTTCTCCAGGTACTCCTAGAAGGCCATCTTAAACTGCGCTAAACAATGTCAGTCAGGTATTAATTTAGGATCATCCTTCCGACTGAAGTTCTGGGTGATTTCGTCCCCGACGTTCTGTAGTGGGCCCCCTCTTGGGCGATGATGTCGAACGGGAATAAGGTTGCTGGATGGACTTAGGTAGTGTACTTAGCAGGAGAGTCGAGACCAACGCATCGCCTAGAACGACTTGTGGTCAGTGCGTTCAATAACTGGCGTGATGTATGGGAGAGAAAAGCGGACCAAACTAAGAGTCTGGACCCAACGAAAGGGGCAATGGCCGCCAGAACAAGGAGCAATGAGTCTCGCTTGGAGAAAACCGGAATGACCAGACCTACTCATTGGTCAGCAACTTTATGTCAGCGAATCGGCTTTATCTGTACGCGCGACGCCTAACAAACCCTGGATAATTAAGCCGTAAAACATGTTTTAAACTTCTTTATTTAACACTGGCCATAGAGTGCCTCTGTTAGTGGCAAACCTGCAGCATGAGTCATAAGCGAAAGCAACACGTCTTGTGCGGTGTGACATCTTTGGCACGGACGCACAGTCAGCGCTGGACTCGGTTAATTCTGTCGTATCACAACTGAAACTCAGGGAACAACCCACACCTAAGCTAGGCTTGTCCAACCTTGCTCCTAGGCAACAGCAAGGGTAATGAGTATCTTGCCCGTATGTGTTTATTGGTGTTCTTTACCTTTGTGCGCTGGAGGCTGAAGCCTCTTTAAACTACCCACAACCTTATTCCCGTCCAACCTTGCGATTATGGCGCAATAGGCTGAGTAGTATCATGGCAAATGGCTAGAGATTCATGAAGTCATAGGTTCAGGGCTATTATCAAGCCTGGAACCTCAGCAAAACACATCTTGGTTTCACTGCAGGTATGCAGATTGTTTTAATTTGTTAGCTGCCACCATCAATAAGATGTTACCAATCGTCATAAGCTATTTGAACGAATCACCATAGTGGACTGGCTAATCGGAAAAATGAGGCCAGCCATTCTAAGACGTCACTCTAGCATCTGATCTAACACACTACGTCATCAAATCATTCGTGGTTTTGACTTGAGCCTCATTTCTTATTTAGTTTTGCCGGCCCTTACCACCTGAGGAAGCTTATCTACATAATACCAGTGCCGCAACTATTGAATTCGGCCTCTTTCCTTACCTCAGTACTACAGGCAACTAGTACCACCGCAAAGGCAAAATGTCCGCGCTCTCATCACCTCTATTGCTTAGTACCTTGCCGAATGAAATTCAGAATGCCATCATCAACCAACTTGACAGTTTTGACAAGCTGATTCTTCGTACAACAAGCAGGCATTTTCGCACAATGATAGCAATCACAGTGGATGATGTGCTTGCAGCCGAGCGATCTTCCATCTCACGGGGAATAGATCTGTTGGGATGCTACGATTGTCTATGCCTCAGAAGAGGAGAGTGCTTCGCGGATGGCACGCGAAGAGGAAAGACAGGGCGGTGGGGTAGCAAACCCACGTCACGGTTTTGCATTGATTGTGGATTGCACCCACCTTCAGGTACGACTCGATATAATCGTGCCAATAGAATCGGAATTGGAGGCGAGGTATTTGTTAGATGCTGGTGTGACAAGGGTGGTATCGTGCCCAC